ATCTGGAATTTATTAAAAATGCAATTATTGACGAACAGTAGATAAACAATTTTCCTAATAAAAATATTCTCATTCGTCATGTTATATAAAAATTCGTTGCTTGTATTTTTATTGGATCTTAGATGTTCCACAAACATAATTGCATGCTTTGCATCATTTTTACGTACATAGATAAGTACATAAGTACGTGTAAAGTTGATGAGTTTTTCGATATCTCGCAATCAGTCGGTGCATTTCGTAATGAAGAAGATATTAACGCATAGGTGTACCAAGGTGTGCCTCAATTACTGGAATGCCACGCCTAATTAATTCTTCTCGCGAAATGTCATCGCACTGTTTCCGTTTCAATGCTCGCGCAATCTTTCGTACAATAGAAATTTGCATCTACCGTATCTGAACTACTTTTGAAACGTGCTTCGCCGATTTATTCTAACATATCTTATCAGATAAATAATGATTCCGATTCGATTGATCGCATATTTTAATCAGTCATAAAATCATCGAATCGTGGAATGGTAATCGTTTCACACGGGTGATAACGGGCTGGGAAAGAGTACAGTTAACTCGCAACCCCTCTGCTCGTTACGGTACAAGCCTGCGCGCGGTTCGATCGGCAACAAAAGCGTCTCATTTACAAAATCGGTAAACGTCGCATGCGACGCACGTTCGAACGAGAACGAGCCTTAACCAGGCCCTCGAACGACTACGTGGCAATCATTGGGAAAAAGAGGCGAACGTGTCTGCGATATGGAAACGGGCACGATTTTCACATTCAAATTTCGCCTGAGAACATATGCGGTATGTCTAGGCAAGTTCAAAGATCAAACTAGTTCTTAAAGATGTCTCATTGAAGTACGAACCAAATTAACACTTTGCAAATTGCTTCAGCCATGCTCTTTGTTTTTATTCTTACACTGAGTACACAGAATTTGCTATACTTTAATTGACGATAAAGTCTGTTTTGTAAAATGTATCAGTGATGCAAATGATCAACTAGTTCTTAAAAATGTCTTATTGAAGTACGAGACAAATTAACATTTTGCAAATTGCTTTAGCTATTGAATGCTCTTCGTTTTTATTCTTGCATCGAGTAGACAGAATTTACTATATTATAATTGATGATGAAGTACGTGTTGTAAAATGTTTCTGAGAATTGAGTAAAAGTCTGTGAAAAAATTGGAAACGGTAATTTCTGAGAGCCGTGAAAATCGTATAAAAGTGGAGATAGTAATCGCGGTCACGTGTTCCATTCTGTCAAGCCGCGACGTAGGACCGCTTCCTGATGTAGCGAGTCTAAGTGCCCTCGAGGAGAGCACGCTCTGATGGCTTCGGTGTCCTTTGCTTCAGAACGGATCACGAAGTACTGTTGCTCTCAGGTGTTCGACTCTGCTAACGTTCGAATCTTCGCATCCTTTTACTAATCGCACCGCGTGCCGTTCGCTTCGTTAGAACTCGGTGTGCGTTCCTAAGTCGCAGGTGCAGCGTACCTCGATCGGGCATGCGATTGTTTTTCCAACTAGCGAGACGTGATTAGCAACGATCGTTTTAATTTTAGCCGAGCTATATTTGCAAAAGTCAGCGCTTATAATTAGGAACCTTACGCCAGTAAAAAGTTGTTTAGCTTTTATTAGGCGTTTTGCGAGAAGTTAAATTCCATTCCAAATTTACTATCCAATAAATCGTAGAAATCGCTGCTAAAACCAGAAGATCGGTTTTATGATATCAAGTTTTTGTATCCACCATTAGCACTTCACGTTTATGAATCATCAATAATCTATAATTACCACAGATAGGATTCTCACCGGCAAACACATTTTTTATTCGTTATTCTCAATAAAAGTTACAGCCGTATTTCATACAGCGTTATTTTATTTTTACTACGAAATCGACAATTTTTATTCAGAATTGGCGGTATTTGAGTAGCGACGTATTCGAAACACCAGCAAAGCGTCTCGGTTTTTTTTCAAAAACCACGTGGAAATGAAATGTCAGAAAAAAATGTCTCGCAGCTAGACTTTCCGTTTTTCAAAGCACAACGGGCCGCGACTTCTGCCCGCGTTACGGTGCCTTTTTCTAGAATTAAATTGCGGAATTGTAACGAGGTTTCGCTTACTCACGGCACGGTAGCGCGTCTGGAAACAGTTCCTCGCCGGTGACACGAGTGGTGACACATTTCGTTTAGCTTTACCCAGCCTTTCCGCGGGCTCTCGCTTCGAAAAGCTAAATAACCGTTGCGCGTGCATCCCCCGGCGAGGGGTGGGTGGGCTGTAATTCATCTGGAGCTCGACAGGGAACGTGAATCGGTAGGCTGGTGATTTTGTTTCCCCGGATGACGAGCGACCCTCTGATACCAGACTAGCTGTAACAACTTCGACCAACCATTCTAGATTTTCGTTTCGGTAAGGTCGATGACATGTGAAAACTTCAGTTCACGATAATATAATCGGTTAAATTTTTGGAATGTTAGTATAATTATTTAAAATTTTTATTTACTCTATATTATAATATAATATTAATA